CATTGGATTCAAATTTAATTCCATCCATTACAGTAACCCACTTGTAACCTACTGTACAGCAGAGCGACATCCACGACTTACCCGCTTTTTTTTAAAATATAGATGTAAGGTTTTCCTGGGTTGAAACACTTCAAAAATCATTGAAAATACATATTACTGAGGTACGGCATTTACGGTATAATAATCACTATGGTATGGTATTTTCGGTAATCACCTAGGTACGATATTTTTGGGTAGTTACCGAATAAGCAACTATAGTAAACAAATACCGAACCCACGGTTATCACAGTAATTGGAAATACCACCGCTGCCCTGCGATATCGTTTACAACAGTTTGATAAATTTATTATAGTCAATTGTTATCACATATTATTGCAGAGCGACGGTGAAATCGTAGGTTCGCGGGACACGTTCGTTCGCAAATCGCAATACGCAGTCGACGCAATCATCCTTATTCGTTTATTWAGGGTCTCCAATAATATAATGTTATATTAAAAATATATTTTGACCTCCCGCGGAGTCCATTCTACGAATGATTTACCGGATGAACGAGTCATTAAACCCGAACAACAACACAAAATATTCGCACACTCACGATTCTAAATATTGAGTTTAAAAAAAACACCGGCGCTCATGATTAATTTTATTGGAYAACTTCGCGGGTGCGCAACTACGGTAATATGATTACAATCATTTTTCCGGGATACTTTTCATTATTTTTAAATGGAGTGTTCAAAAATAATTTGAAAACACATCCTCAAAGCTCTAGATAATATACATAATATAGGTACATGATCATAATTATTATTACAATGACATTATTATTATGATGATTTCCTCGCGATTTGTTGATAACACTTTCGTTGGCACCTGTAGTATATTATATATTTATATTGTTCAAACACTAAATTCAAATTAATATCCTGTATATACTTAAATAACGGTCGACGGTCTATAATGTCGATGGAACTRTTTTTGCGCGGTTAATAAATCACTTCGTATATTCTTTCAGATCACAGAAGTGATTATGTTGTTGTTTTGAAAAAAAAAAATTATATTAAATACCGTGACACTTCAAAATAGCCGAGAATAAAATATTAAACAATGTTATTACATCAAAGTGGTCTTWTGTGACATTATAAAATGTATAAAAAATACGATACAATATATAATATATCGTTTTCATTTTATTCGCGCACATTTGAAAGTTCTTAAAATGTTATTACATCACATTGTTGTTTGCTATACTACACAGTATTTTATGTAACAGTGTATACGTGTGTGTGTGTGTGTGTGTGTGTGTGTTCGCGCGCGCGCGCGCGCGCATGTACTCGTGATTGATGATGATGAAACGAAAAAAGGAACAAAAGTATAATAATATTATATATATAGGATATTACGACTACAGTGCAGGACCACCGGCCGGCGTTCTAATCCGTTTTAGTTTTCGCGAAACAGATGGTCGGAAAAATTAATACGGCGAGACGAAGACAACGACATAATATTTTCGAGTTTCRCCGTCGCAATCGTCTCGTCTGCTCACTCCGACGACGTCACGCCGTATTATTTAGTCGTCCGAATCGATAAACCGCGTGCAATACGTTCCGGGGCCGGGCCTTTTTGAAGTTAAATATTGGTTCACGTTCCCCGAGGAATACCGCTTTTGAATAGATGATGCAAAACTTTTTATTAAAATGTTGACGGTCACGTATTGTATATGACGTGAACACGCGGAGCGGACGGTCAGGTGCGAAACGGCTTCCGTCCGACCGAAAATAATATAATAATATTATACGCATGCTATTACAGCTACGCAGCGTATAATATGTATATATATATATAATACGTACGTCTATCCTACGCGAGTAATATCTCCGGTCGACCCAGAACGCAATTAAAACTTTGTGTAAAGATCGCCGCGACTTTATGAATATATGTATAATGTATATATATATATAATATGTATATGTATATATTTGTATACACATTGTTGGTAAGCATCAGACATAAAGTGGTTTTTTATTTTAGCGGTACACCTATTTTTATTTTTTGTTTTGTCGACGATATAAAACATTAAACGTCTTTTGTTGCATTTTTTTTCTTTTTTCGTTGCAGATAAATTAGTTTAAAGACGAAGTGAAAAAGTTTTTTTCTCCTGCCCACGCGCATCTTTCGCTTACCTACACATATATTTATATACGATTTGTACCTACTTCACTAAGTGCGTGGTTTTTTTTTTTTACTTTTATTCCTCCCTCTTTTTTTTAGATGGTTATACGAGGGCTTGGAAGAAAGTCGGCACTGTCGGTCCGTCTGGCACCGGCGGTCAGCTGGTCAAGTTGGACTCGGTGGTATGGGCCGGTGGGAAAATGGTGCCGGCCGTTGGTTTGGGCAGACGGGCCGTGTACAGGGTAGTCACAGCCATCGGTCCACCATTCGTCATGCACGCGCCCCTGCAACAGGATCGCCAATGTCTACGCGGTATACCGTGTTACCAGATGACGACAAACAATAAGGACAACATAACGATGATATTCAAGGATGTCAAGTTGGACGCAAACAAAAAGTGAGTGTCGAATAATAACACTGTAGTAAAACGTGGTYGAAATACCTATAGTATTGTAAAAAGGTATACGAGTAGAGGAAACAGAGGCTAAATGTCACAATTTTTTTTTCGAGAGCTGTTTGTCACATCATCACGTGGTTAGTCTCGTCCCAGGTAAATTAAATAATAGCCTGCATCAATGGTCGCCGGTTGGGTCCGTGGCCCATAAATCAATTTTTATGGCCCGCAAAAATATGTTACAGTTCCTTGATATAGGTATTTTGATAACATTTTACTAATATGTTTCAATATTATTAAATTGTATTTACTTAAATAATTAAAGTTTTCGGTATTAACTATAGGTAATGTATAAAATATCAATATAAATATTATATTATATACATAATTTATAGTATTTTTCATAATRWCTTAGCAAATACAGAAGCACGATGCTCACGCRTTTTTGATCGGAGACGAATATAACGATTACCAGCATACTTTGCTACTGTATATGCTATATGTWATATACYTATRATAACTGTGATACAATTACATTGTGTATGCGTAACTGTATTCGTTTGTAAAAATTTTGTGATCTCACCATAAACTTCTAAAATAACTATGGTGCCTAGGAAAACAAAAAATTAAATCCATATTAAGTTCKTATAAAATTTAGAATTACTCAAAGTAAATAAATAAATCTATAAAAAGATAATAAACTACAAATTCATAAAAATGTAACTAATTTCAATCATATTTACTTAAGCCCATTCAAACACGCAAGTGACAAAARGTCTCTCGTAATTTGTGACATTAAACCATTTAAACCTCCATAGTACCATACCTACCATTTGACGATAAATTAATTTTATGAGCTATGACTTTATCAATACAAACGGAAACATCAAAGTATACGTTAAATTGATTTTAAAGTTGACATTTACAATGTTAACTGTAATAATATATAAATTGAAAATATTAATATATTATGTATTCACGGAAATTAATAACTCGTAGACTTAAACTTTTTTCGTTTTAAAATGCACCATATATACGATCTGCTCAACCAGTCTATAATAGGTACATCTAATATATAAATTATATATAAGGAACATAAGTAACACCATATCTGGTTTCATGACTGGTTTCACAACTGACATTGCGACGATTAACTTCTATGGCTGTGTGACATTATTGCCTAGATTTCTTATTCTTCACCTACTATTAATAAGCGCATAGTATATTGCAAAAAATTATTGTTCATTTTACGTATCGCTGCAGGTCACTACCAGAGACGTATTGCTGTTTTGGGTTGTCCATAGACCTGCTAGAAAAGATGTCGAAAGACATGGATTTTGATTTTCACCTGTACTTGGTCGCTGACGGCACGTTCGGGTCCCGGAAGCTCCAGTGGAATGGAGTGGTCGGTGAACTCGTGTCCGGTACCGCACACATGGCCTTCTGCCCGCTGAGCGTAACGTCTACGAGGTTCACATGATATTCAAGACACCATCGAACGGTGATTACAACTGATAAGATTCAATTTTTTTTTTTAGATCGAAGTGGATAGACTTTTCTACGCCATATTTCTACAGTGGCGTTTCCTTGATGATCGCCCCGAAGAGAAAGACTAATGTACCACTGCTCGCGTTCCTGTTACCACTGAGCCCGAACCTGTGGATCGCTATATTTGTATCACTTCACGTAACAACAGTGGCAGTGGCGTTGTACGAATGGTTCAGTCCGTTCGGGTTGAATCCTTCCGGCAGGCAAAGATCCAAGAATTTCGGGTAAATATATTTGTTTTTGGACGGTTTCATAGCGTCGACTAATAACTGTTATTCGTAACCGCAGTATGCCTTCGGCGTTGTGGGCGATGTGGGGACTGCTGTGCGGCGCTCTCGTCAATTTCAAAGCACCGAAATCTTGGCCAAACAAATTTTTAATTAACGTCTGGGGCGGATTTTGCGTTATATTCGTAGCTAGTTACACTGCCAACATCGCAGCTCTAATTGCTTCGCTTCTATTTCAAAACGCCGATGTGGATTACAACGATCGAAATGTAAATAAACAATAATTGTACCGAACACTGTTGTACGATTAAATAACTATACCGCTGTACTTGATAATATGTGCAACATACGACTTGTGCGTGATATTTAACTTTCAGATGTTTTTAATGAAAGTTGGATCGGCTAAATCATCGTCTGCAGAAGTTTATTTAAAAGACAAGAATCCTGCTCTATGGCAACATGTTCAAAAATATTCTGTTCCTGACACGGCGTCTGGCATGCGAATGTTAAGGTAGAGCAATTGTTTACAATAGCAAAAAAAAAAYATCACTTAAGATATTATACTGTAAGTTACAGATAAAACATGTTTATTTTTAAAATATCTAGAATTTATTTAACAGCGATAATTTATTGTAATGAGTCGTGATGGTKAATGTCACCCGATACCAATTTAAAAAATATTATTGATGGATTGCAATAACATCTTGGTTATACACGATTTAATTTACATGTCTGGCTGTCAAGAAGAATTMATGTGTATGAGCGATTTATTATGGTAGATTATAACAAGGATCAAGTTAGGAATATAATTTTGAGTTATAGTTAAGTGGTAACGTTGATGTGTCTGTGATGGTTTTCGTGAGATATATACGTGCATTAAAAGGAATGTCATTGTTTGACTAAGACAAATATACTAAAATGCTTGGATGGTTTATAGTGTTAGATGGTTTATATACTCAAAAAAAAAAAAAAAATGTGTCTGAATAGGAAGTATAGTTGTACAAATAAGAATTTGTATGCTAGATACGCATTAATTATTTCATGGATATTTTGGTTRGAGAAATGGATATGAAAGTCTAATAAATTATTACACATTAACATGTTTAGGACTTTTTTAGAATCGTTATCAAAACATTTCGTTTTTATTAAAGATATCAACGCAGTAGAATTTTTTTTTTCATTATGAAAATAAGCTTTTAGTCTAAAAGGTTAATTGATTTGACGGCAAAAGATACAAAACTGTTATAAGATTAAAAAAGAACATTATTCAAATTAATAGACTAAATTTAACATTTTTAAGCTAACGTATAAAATGATTAACACTTTTAATCCACCGGAAATCTTGTCTCATTATGTTGATATAATTTTAAATACCTAGCTTAATTTAAATTAGCAATTTCAGGTTTTAAATATATCATTTTAATTTCTTATCGTGTAATTTTTTTAGAAAATATAAATTAAAAAAGGTTCTTAATTTATTTAATTTTGTTTAAATTTTAGAAACGGTAGTTTGGACATATTTATCGGCGACAAGCCCATTTTGGACTATTATAGTGGAACAGATCACGATTGTAAGCTCCAACCATACGGAGATCCACTTTACGATGACGTTTACGCAGTAGGAATGACCAAAAACTTCATCTTAAAGGTCTGTTCATGACCACGAGTTATTTTTAGGTATTAAAGTTATTTATAATAATCATTTTTATGTGAAACAGGAAAAGGTGTCTGCAGCTGTTTCAACATATATCAACAATGGTTTTATGGATATCCTACAAAACAAATGGTTCAGTGATTTACCTTGCGTTAACCGCGAACCAGAAACATCGGATATTGGACAACCGACACCACTGGGTGTAGACGCATTTTTAGGAGTTTTCCTCATGTTGGGCTGTGGAATACTAGCGGGTGCCGTTATTCTTTGCCTAGAACACGCTTTCTATCACTACGCGTTGCCTAAACTACGGCAAAAGCCTCCAGACTCGATATGGAGAAACCAAAATATGATGTTCGTCAGTCAAGTACGTCGGTGTATACGGTGTGCCATAAAAAACGGATGGATTTTAAAAAGCATAAACAAACTTGAAAAATTGATGGAATTAAATATTGTCATTTTATTTACAAGATACTATAAAATGCAATTTATGCGTATGGAACACAGCATTAATCATATGGTGACCATCTCCGCACGGATAAACTCGATAGGACATAATATTCTGAAACATTATAGTGCAATCATCTCACGTGGAATGTCACTTTGACTGATTGAGACAGTGACTAAACGTGTCTTAGATGAAAACATGTTGACAACTGAAACTGCATTGGTCTACCGACTCAACGATCTCAAGCCCATACTCTGTCTCCATCGCGAGTAACACCTAATCCGAATCCATCCGTTTATTACGATGCACGCCTCATATCATTATAATATTATATTTACTATTTTTACATACATTGTAACTAACCACTACCAAMTGTAAATTGTAATACTGGCAGATAACTGTCTTCTATAATAATGGATATCGTATATTTTTGTTTTCTTCCAGAAACTCTACAAGTTCATAAATAGCGTAGAACTTATATCGCCGCAACACACGGCCAAAGAACTAGTGCATACGCTAAGACAAGGACAAATCGCATCGCTGTTTCAAAAAAGCGTGCGGCGAGTAAGTTTGCCTTTTATGCATCCGCAACACGCACAGGTTAGATATTTATATGTTTGACGAAAAGTTTGTCATGGAAGGTTATATCGTWAGACCGTTCTATTGTTACAGAAAGAGTTTGAGCGAAGAAAACGGAAAGGTCAATTCTTCGAAGTCATCGAAGAAATCCGAAGGTTTGTATGTTTCGTATTGTCTGACGTAATGTTGTTATTATTATTATTACTGTTTTTGTGTTGTTTTATTTGTTCGTTTGTGTTTATTTACTTTTAGAATACAAAGAGAAGAGAGAGATAATAAAAAACAAAACGTCAGATTGACACTATCYAATTCTCCGACTGCTGGTCAATCTCCGAAGCGAACGACGACGAAATTCTTGTCGCCGGCCAGGTAAAAATCTGTAGCTTATAGTGACAAGGGTGGCCATTAGGGGTTGAAAGGGGGTGACATGTCACTCGCTGATATAAATGTGAAATTAAAGTAATTTTTTTTTAATTTTAAATGATAAATGTATAAATGACCTACTTTTTATGGTTGATATTGTTCTACGTGAATTATTATTATTTTTTTCATTAAGATAAGATAAGATGTTCCTAGTCTTGACTATCTTCATCTATTGATATTTACAATGGTACATTTTTAACAATTTAAACATAATTATTAATTTATATAAAAATTTAAATAGTAAGATGAATTTGTTATCTAGTATGTACATTAGTGACCATTAATATTAGTGGTAGTTACGCCGAGACGAAACTGACTATAATTTAAGTAACAGTGAATTGATATAATAATAATTAACAATAAAAGTATAAACAGATATATATATATAACAAGTTATAAAGCTTATATTAGACGCTACGAGTAACAAACAGCTGCTGAATATTAGCTATTTATTAAATTGACTTACTTTAAATTATTAAATAGGTACATTGTTTATATATGTTGTTTATCTATTTGCTGTTATTTAATAAAATCAATTTTGTTGGTATTTTTTAAAAATATATTGTCACCTCCTACCCCCTTCAAATTCTGATTGATGGATGTACTTGTGCATAGCGATGATTATCATTATGATTATCATTCAGCTTCACATCTCGATATTAAAAATATATATAATGCACTTTAACGATCGCCTATAACTAAACTGGTTTTCAGGTTGAGCCTCGGCAGACATTATAGCAAACAGAGATCACGGAGCTCGGGGAACTTGAGTATCCGTCGGTACAGTACGGATGTGGCTAGTTATTCGGAGACCGTGGGCCGACGTCTRAGCCAGGGGGCATCCAACAGCCCTCCAGACTTCAACACACGAAAACAACTTATCAGACGGTCGTCGGGAAATCCCAGCCCGGCGGACTCTAGCAGGATGAGCATATTTTCCGCGTCAGAACTAATCGGGGCGAAACTCAGTAATAACAACTTGTATGTGGAAAACGATCTGCCACGCAGCCCCAACCTCCTGTCTCCCGGCGTATTTTTTAGGTATAACTCGTCGTTTATGAACTATTACAAACAGAGCGAACCGTGGTACGACAGCATAACTAACTGTATTTACTTTATTTTTTAGAAAAAAAAAAAAATGTTTTACATTTAGTTTGAACTGTTAAAAACTTGTTATTTACATAACACTATAGATTTTTAAAACAACAACAGAATCTTACCACAATGTTTCTTAGATGTTTTATAGATGTTATAGTTTTTTTTTTAGTTTTATGACCAAATCTATATATTAATTCTATATAAAAAATATTGAGTTTTATGATGTAACATATGTTAAGTACATTTGAGTTAATTATGATGCATACTTTCCATAGGCGTTTGCTCATGAAGTATTGGAATACTTTTCGCCCAAAGCTATAATTGTTAAAAAAATCACAATAGATTTGTTAWTTTTTGATATATTTATATTTGTGATTGTGGTATTTTGTATGTAGACAGTTTTACTGTTTTAAGAGGACTTCTAACCCACATATATAGTTTCCAYCTTACAAACGTAACACATAGTACAAACTATTTTGTGCTGGWWAAAATCWCTCAGGATGTAGTTCAAGCTGAGTAACCAAATTCCATATTATAAAGAAGAATATRTTTACAACGCAACATCTTTCTTATTTTTTCAATATCACAAGTACCAAAAAAGTTCTTATTATTTAAAAATTGATTATTTCAAACTTGGATAACCTTTTTTCGTATTTACAATACCGACACAAGTTGTTATTCCCTGTATAGAAAGAAAAATATTTGGTTAATTAGCTTRAACTACAGCCTGAGTGGTTCTATYCGACGACGAAAAACAGTTTTTGTTATATTGTAMGTTTGTAAGATGGATACARTACATATGGGTGTGGCATCCTCTTAAGTATTTCGTTTTTGAAGATTTACTTTAGAGTTCTACAAGTAYAAAAAACTAATATCAAAAGCACAAAGCTAATTATAAATTAACGTTAATAAAAGTTGTAAACGATCCCAAACAACAAAAACTTTGTTTTTATAACAAAAGGAACCGGCTGAGTTGTAGTCGTTCGCTGAATATTTGAATACTTTTCTCAAGAAATTGGTTGTTACCAATGAATTGTATAGTTTATTTTTTTTATTAATTTCTACATATCTTATTTTACCTTTAAATACATTTATTTTTGTTTCGGTAGAAATTTTGTTCATACATTTGTAATGTAAAACTCTTAAAATTGTAAACAAATTGCCTGTAACTAATGAATTTCAAAATTCTTGTTGGCTCTGATTTGTATTCTGCAACTCAAAAACCAAAAGTCTGCCACCCGAATAAAATAATTTTACTTTTTTGTTAATAAGCTTAAAAACCATTACCTATAATCTGAGTTTAAGACGTACCTATATAGTAAGTACTTGTCTGTTAGAACAATTACCTATGCWATTTTCCAGTTACTTTATTTTGTTATTGCAACTACCACAAGTGATAACACTGCCTTATATTATTTTTAATTAAAAAGACAATAGTCCAATTTATACTTACTTATCTTTAAGAAAGGTAACGTAAAATAATGCAAAAAAAGTCAATGCGTATATCGTATACCACATTTTGCAAGTACTTGTAAGAAATTTGTATCCTTGTTTATGCTTTATATTTTAAGTTTTGAAATGCAGATCTTACATTATTTTATCTTAAAGATTAAAAAATTGTTTAAATATAGTATAAGGCAGTTGGCTCTTGTTGAATAGCCAGTGGTAGTTTCAACATCAGATTTGAATTAACTGGAGACTCACATAGGTTGGTTCCAGGCGCGTAGCCAGGTAATGAGTTTTTGATGGTGTTTTCCCCATTCCCCAAATTGTATTAAAATACTAAATAAAAAYACACTCCTTTAAAAAATGATAGCTATACATCTAATTGTTGTGATAACAGATAACTAGCAAAACGTATCCACCTATTYCACCTACTGTATTAATTGTTAGTTGTAAATACACTATTATACTGTTATATAAATACCTGTAATTTCGAGTTATATAATATTATGGTAAATTACTGTGTAAATTACCAGTGGACATTAGCCAGTTAARTTATGTGAAAAATCTCAGCAATGTATGTTTGTATGCCATATAATTCTGTCAAAACTTTTCAGGTCAAGTTTTTCGTCGGACACGTCGTCATCGCGACCCGACTTGGGCATACAATCGCGGAAGTCGAGCTACTCGCAGGGACCTCCCAGGGTGGTGATAAACGGTGAACAGCAGCCGACGACTCGTCGCAAGTCGGACGACGAGCCACCAGCCACGCTGCCGAGGATCGTGGAGGTGAAGAGGGCTCGCCGGTCCAGTGACGGGCACCGGCCRACCAAGAACCGCAAGACCGTGGAGGTGTTCCGGTGGCTGAGGCAAGCGCCCAAGACGGAACTGGAGGCGCTGAGCAAGATGTCCGAGGACGAGATCAAACACTGCATAATCCAAGCGCTCAAGGACAAGGACCCGACTTGATTGCAAGTCGACGGCGGCGCAGTTGKTGGGGGTTGTGATGATGACGACTTCGACGCCGAAGACGCAGTCCCATCGCAGTTGGCATAACGCCATCGCCGTCTACACTGCACAACGGTACAGCTGCATAAGCGTCTAATGATTATTATTRCATAAGACGTATTGTAAATTTATTATTATGATAATATTGTGATGAACGAAGAAAAAAAAAGCGCTCATTGTTTTTGTTATTACATAGATATGTTTCTGTCTACGTTTTTTTTTTTTTTGTTTCTTCTGATAATAATCTTGTAATGCCATTGATAGTATATAATTGTTTACAATATATATTGTACATTTAAATATTTAATATTAATATTATAATGGTAAAAGAAGACTGTCCGGCCAGATATGTACGACAAGCTTGTGTTCGTCATGTATATGATTATTAGGTAAGTCGATGCTCAAGTGCGTAGGTTAAGTACCGCTGCGATGCTGTTGCTCTAGTTTGGRAAAACGAGCGAGATAAAGGGACGTCTCCATTTTGACGATAACGGCGATAACGCGTTATTATTAAGATAATACCTATTGTTGTAAGCGTATCGAAACTGTTATTCCATAAAATGTAGTCGTACAAAATATAATATTCTTTTAAAACGTGTTTATATGTTAAACTATCATTATTACTATATTTTAATTTATGCTCAGATATAAATAYTATATTAAATTATATTATGTTCATGTAAATAATATATTTATATATTATACTTAATACTATTACTACTAGACATAGGGTCGTTACTATGTATAATAGCTGTTTCTTGTTGATTCTTATTAATAATTCGTCTGTTTTCTACGTATTATCGTTACACGTAATCAATTAAAATGTTTAATGTTTATATTACATCAAATTTATGTATATACATACACACACACATATTATATATATATATATGTGTGTGTGTGTGTATGAATAATCATGTGCAAGTGCATAATATTGTTTGTCGTTGTCGATGAAGTTAAGCCGGTTGAGGTTCGTTGTTTATTAGCACGCGGTCGGTGGATTCTCCTATAACCACGAACCGTCGAAACCGTCCTGAAATCTGAAAAAGTAATATTATATTATGCGTATTAACTTTTATCATTTAATAAAATGATATTGTTATAATATGGAATAAGATAAATCATACTATTTATACAATATATATACATATATGTATATGTATATATATTTTTGTGTGTGTACATCATATTATATAATATTATTGTCGTTTGGTTGATTTATTTAAGTTTTAATTAAAGTCAATTAAAAAMAAAAAAAAATTAAAAACCTAGTTATTTCTTCAATCRTGTTTGTATTATATTTCTATAGATYATTTTCCTAAGTTCATGATCATCCGCATAACCGAATAATTTAGCTGTCATATACGGTGAACGATATAATCATTTTTCATAGTTTGTATAATTCATAAGTACCTATTATAAGCGTGTGCAGACGACCTTGAGGGGAACAGCTGCGGAGCAGAGTAAATGAAATGAAAAAAATAAATCGACTACGTGTGTGAGGCCGATGGACTAGCGTATTTACCTATATTACCATATATTATAACTTTCGTATGTTTGCACAGCTTTCTGAAACCAGAGCACCCGGTAACGTCCTCCTCGTGCAGTCTATGACAACAATATTGCTATCATCATCGTCGGCATTTGATAAAAAAAAAAAAACAAAACTCTGTCGTTTCTATAATTCTCCGGTGGTAATATTTTTATGGTTTCGAGCGATGTTCATAATAATATGTAGCGCGTGTCCATCAGAAGCGGTGCAAAAAATAGGATGCCGACGACCACGTCACAATCGTTGCTATAATATAATATTATGATAATGCGATAACAACAATAACAATGTTTTACCCACACTGAAGGTGTGATAAAATCCGCTTCGTCTATGATATCGTATTATTATCATGACGACACTGAGACCTGATGCAGTACCGGGCGACCAGCGAGATATACTACGTGATATGCCGGCGACCAACAGGTTAGTGCGTGAGCGTAACCGATATGATGATGATAATAATAATAATAATAATAGTACACATATTGTGGTCGAGGACACGCGCCCGCGTTTCCGCTCGAAGAGGGCACCACAGCCCGGCGGTGACGGTGGCGGCGGCGGCGGTCATAAGCGCTAGTCGTCGGGCGGTGTCGCGTGTGCGCGCGCGAGTCCCGTCGCGCCGAAAATCAATATAGGCTCTACCGTCGTTTTTCTTTCAGCTATTTTTCCTCGCCTCGTTTGCAGTTTAATTTTTCCACCCGACCGCGTTCCCGCGCGCCGTCGGTCACACACCGCCAAACAATATCTGTCGTCCACTATCGTCGAATATCATCCGTCTCGTCGTCGACCACCGACGCCAAAATATCACACCCGCAGGACACAACCTTGCGGCGGCCAAAACCGACCCGCAACCGAGTCCCCTCAGCTCCGGCGCCGCGCCAGTGTAGTTAGCGTTTTTCAAATACGCGCGCGAAAAGTGTTTCGATACAATACATATCATTATCATTAATAATTGAAAACGTCGCGCGCGCGTTTCGCGAGGATCTGTTAAATCAGCGACACCAGGTGGCGCCCCGTCGTCTCGTTGCCGTCGCGCGCATATCGATTGGGCTTTTGATCCTTTTCGCTCGTCGTGTCCGCGCTACTAGGTATACCTTCGCCCGCGCACGAGTGTGTACGTCCAGCGTGTGTGTGTGTGTGTGTGTGTGTGTCTGTGTGTTAAGTACGTAAGTGTGTTTGTGTGTGCGTGCGTGCGTATTTCCGGAACATATTTCCTGCACGTACACGGCTGCCGATGACAAACGTCTGAACTCGCGGAGCAACGGACTTGTCCAAGTTTGCTTGCCGTACGTACAGTGCGCGGGAGGCGGTACGAACACTGCCCCCACCCCTCGTCGAACGGCATTATAATATATTATAGTCACCGTCGAGTTTCGCACGAGGTAAGTCGATTCACTGTGTGTAATTATATATAATAGGTATAACGCTGTATAACGCAGATATAGTGCGCGATGCAGTGGTTTTTCTATTTCGTATACCAGATACCGGCTATACCGCATTAGTAGAGTGGTTTTTTTTTCTTTCACGCCCGTTTTGTTTTGCAACAGCGTCGTTTGTCAGGCGCACATCAGCAGCAAAGATGGCTGGCCAAGACGGTAAATGGCAGAAGGAAGGGTCCGACCAGAACTTCGATTACATGTTCAAGTTGCTCATCATCGGCAACAGCAGCGTCGGCAAGACGTCGTTTCTGTTTCGGTACGCCGACGACAGTTTCACGTCGGCATTCGTGTCCACGGTCGGAATCGATTTCAAAGTAAAAACCGTGTTCAGGCACGACAAACGGGTCAAACTTCAGATATGGGTGAGTYCCAGTGGTATAATACCACAATCCTGGTAAATGGTTTTAACGTTTATATATTTATAACATATACCTAGTCGTCCAAACGCCATCCGGTGATCTTGCATCACCCACTTAAAAATACACATAAATATAGTTCATATTAACGTTGTCATTATTGTCTCCTCCTATATATAGGATACGGCGGGCCAGGAACGTTACAGAACCATTACGACGGCGTACTACAGGGGCGCCATGGGGTTCATTCTCATGTACGACATCACCAACGAGGAGTCGTTCAACAGTGTGCAGGACTGGTGAGTTTAGACATATTGTTTCCCATAGAATTATATGATATTTATAAACGATAGCCAGTGGGTGATAACTATATGCCCCGCAGGGTAGTCGTCGTAAGGGTGATCGTCGTCGGGTGTAGGGAGGTAGGAGGTAGCATTGAGGGGATGCGTTATGTTCAGACGACACGACTTTTGAACCACTTTGTACATCCAGTTCTTATCACGTATATACTATACACAGTGATATGAGGATATGACCTACTATGCAATATAAATATCATATGATATTGTATCACCTCTTCTAGTAGTTGGTGCTAAAAAAAAAAAAATTATACAATTATATTTSGTAACTTCCGTTTTTTTATGTGCGTCTTTCGCAGGGTAACACAGATCAAGACATATTCTTGGGACAACGCGCAGGTGATACTCGTGGGCAACAAGTGCGACATGGAACACGAACGTGTGATATCGTACGAGCGGGGCAAAACGCTGGCCGACGAGCTGAACATCGAGTTCTTCGAGACGTCTGCTAAAGACAACCACAATGTCAAGGTCGGTGCAGTATTATAATACGCCCGTACAACATTAATTAATTAATTATAATTTATTAATATACCTGCGTAACATAATATTATGTATTATCAAACAKTTGCATGCGCGCCATATCAAATGAAACGATGTTGTGTGCATGATGTATCGTGTTGTTTACAGTGTGAGAAGCGCAAGTGCTTATATGGGTCTCATAGTATATATCATTAAAATTAATATCGTTTCCCGAAAACCCACATMATTTGTGCATAATTTTTTAACACTATACATATATTATTACGCGCATAATCCCGCGAGGACGATGTTATTATTATTATTTTTGCAGTCCTTCGTGCCCAGAAAACAGCCCGGGCTGTTATCACGCCGCTTTTAATGCGTGGCTTCSCCAGGCCGAGATTATGGTGGCGTAGGTGGTAATCGTAGGGTATATGCGCAGAGTCTTATTGTCGAAAAATGATTAATCGTCGACCACGAAAACTCCCTCGACTGCCATCAAGATACGTTCCAAATACGTATGTTATTATATAGTACTCGTATATATATACATATATACGCACCGATACATTATTGAATTATTATTTATTACCGCCTGCAGCCTACATATGTATTTAATATATGGCACTAGACCATTGCCGCGACTGGCGGGACTGAACATTATATTATATTATAATACTACGAACTGTGTGTCGAAGTATATAATAATATTATTATATATACATACAGGTTAATCGTTTTTCCGTCAAGTAATAATATGCTCAAAATACTCGAACGCGATTTATTTCGGTTCAAAATTATTCGAAGAGTACAGAATTCAAAAATCGAGTGTTTTATTTTTTTTTTTTTTTGCTGCAATAGGACCGCCCTGTATATGGCGTCGACTTTTCATTAAATTTCTTTCCGTTTAATCGGTCTCTTCGCTTTAATAAATTGGCTCCGCAGTCTATTATATATGTGTGTGTATAATATGTATGTGCGTGTGTTTGACAATATTGTTTCTTGCCAAACCGTTATCCAATATACGAGCTCAAGAGACGTCGTCGCATGCGGGGTGACACAGAGTAATCAATCGGATCCTGTGGGTCCGTCCTCGACACGTGAGCAACACCACTTTTCGGGCATTCGAAGTTTCCTTGTGGGTCAACTGGACCACCTGGTCGATTTTTGAACACTTAGTGTTACGACCCGGGATGGGTAATGAATAATAACATAATAATAAATAATAATGTCCCACACACGCATCGTCATCGTGACGACGAGTATCCGCAAAGATAACGGTCGCTCGTCGATGATGGTGTTTCGTTCGCGATGATAAATCTCGTTGTCGTAAATATAAATCATTATGCGATTCGATGATCGAATGAACGCTAATAATTATACGCGTCGTTTCTGTATGATAACCACGGCGGCGTAAATTAAATTGAGTGGGCATCATGATCGCACTACAGATTACAGGGAGAAAAACGGCGCCTCCGACGGCGTGAAAAAGGGACACGTCGCGAAACACTCTAGTGGGGTGGAGAAGAGGTCGGAAAAGTAGTCGAAAATCAACCGGTGACCCCCCCGGTGTGTATACGTAATTATTTCCAGTTGCCGAGTAAACGGCGTAATTACGTGCGGRTGTGCGAACGACCGGACATCGTTTACTATACTATAATAATTACGCGCGGTAGAGTGTATATTATATAATAATGATTCATCCGATCGTGTTTATTGGCAAACTTCAGTAAAATAACACTGTTTGGGACGGGGTTTAAAGGTTGGCGACTATACGTTAGTTTTCTTACAGATATTGATGTGACGATGTGACCCACATTCCTTGCGCGGTACACATATTAATTATAATAATAATACTTATATAATAATAAGTGACATTTTTTTTGCCGTTGGCCACTCATCGCAGATATTCATCAGACCTCATAGTCAGCGAATTTTTCTTCAAGTCCTCAGAGAGATACATATAAAAGACAATTTTTATGCATCTTCTCTTCTATCCATCTATAATCTATATATTTGATGAACAGTTGCATTACAGAATACGGACGCCACCATYTAGTCTTGATTACGGTTGTCATTTTTCAACGAGTTTATGAGGAATTTGACTATTACTTGGATATGCATTTCGTGAGAGTTATGCGAGGACCACCAGTCGCGCATTGAACATAATATTATTTCGTTATAACATTTAATGAAGTAATAATTGCTAACTATTGAGACTATTTTTTTTCATCGRAGAAATTATTTTTGAATACTGTATGATAAAAATCAACAGTTTCACGACGCCCCGTCATCTTTTATCGGCTCCGTTGTACATCATCAGCGCTTWTCGTCGACGACGTCACGATAGCATAATAATACTTGATTATAGGTACTTATATTTATTGTATTGTGATGTCGTATATCGGGTGCARTTCACGCAAGCAAACGCTAAGAGTATAACAWTTTTTTTTTCTATTAACTTCAAAACACTTATTATAATGCGTATTAAAGGTGAATCATAAAAGTTAAACATGAATAAAGCGATTCCACGTGAGTTGCTGCGSGTATCACACTAAATATCTTATAACAATGGCAAACTTTCTATATCACTGTGCACGTATATATACGAGCCATAGACTTCCAAAGTAAAGACTCCATAATTATAATATAATCACCACTGGTGCTTTTCAGAATATTGTTCTTTTAAACACCCTAAGGGYAGAAAATATATATTAATACACGGAGAGTATATATACGGTTGAGCGACAAAAAGGTTTTAATCGCTGCAAATACCGTCATCTATTTAAGGAGGACTTTAAACTTTTTAAATTTTATTACATTAATTAACGTAGACGATTATCCGTGGTACCGTTCGACTTAATGTTTCGAWRTTAAAATATTTTTCAAGACCTGCGCTGATCGTCGTGGTTCCGCGCAATTTTCATGCGTAATAATGTGTATATAGTTTTGTTTTATTGGTTTAATCGACAAAATCTTGGTTCCTATATATTTACACTCACCTGACGGTATGTTTTTAAAATGATTTTACGAGATTCATACAACAGGTGTGGCTTACAACTTTTCTCGTTACGAATTTTGGCTTCCCTACAAGTTCAAACCCACATATTATGAATACAACACGCTTTAACCATGACCTCAAACTCGATATTTTACTAATAATCCATCTTAATGTTTTATCTTATTTAAAGATTTTTAGAAATCGCGGACCCCTACTAATTTTTTATCCAATACCATTTTTTTTACAAAACATCTTATGTTATCATAAAATTAAAATAGTTATTTTATATTAAAAATTATAGGAAGTAGACATATAGTGCACTCTTACAATATGAGATATATTTTATATGAAATAAAAAAAAAATAATAATAGTCCAAAAATATTGTAATAAATAATAATAATAATACACTCGTGTCACTATTGACTTATGGACTTATGTTGGGTGTTAAGGCTGCCACGGACCCCTTGCATTTACACAAAACCAATTATTTAATAAAAAATGCTCTTATTAATAGAATGATGAGGCTAACTAATGATACTYGGGCTGATTTATTTAATTTTAACTCTATCGAGCCTTTTTACCACTATATTATTAATTATTACAATTAAATTATTTGTCAATATTATAAACCTTATTTATGTCTATGTTAACTACTCTTATTACTTATTATTATTCTAAATTAATTATTCGCTATTTTGTGTATCAATTATCTAATATTCTCACTCTGTTCACCTTTTCTCTCTACCTATATGTTTAATTATTTTGTTATAATVTTTGTTTTAAAAGTGTTACTGGACTTAGCTAGTTTGAATTAATAAATATATAAATAAATARATAAGTATTGCAGACCCCCAGGAGGCCGCGGACCACACCTTTATAACCACTGGTTTATAACATTCCACTTTTATAATTGTGAAATATTGAAATATAATAAGGAACAYCTCCAGAATCTTGTATTTTCTTGTACAATTGAGAAAAAATAATTAGGCACCAGTCTATRTATTTCATAATGAGTTTATTCGAGTTGAGGTATTATAATTTTTACACTGAACTACACTTTTTCACAATCTCTTTACCATAAACTGAACATAATATAAAATTATTAAATAGTCAAGTAGATAAATTGATGAATATTATATTATTTTATGGTAAAGACTAAAATACTAAAATTGAAAAAATGCTCACGAATAGTATGTATAAAAGCGATCGTATTTAAAAATGAAGWTCTTCGTAGTCTTTAATTWAACTGTTGAAGTTGTGGCAGAATTTCCAGCAAAGATTCCAAAGTAAAATTTTGTAGACCAAGTCTGTAAAATAACAAATAGTTTAAATATATTTAAAAAATATTGGTCAATTATTTTAAATACAAAAKAACTGCTATATTATTGTGTCTATAATATTAATCGAGAACTAACGTGACTCCGTACTCGTGTATAGTAAGTCARTTCATAAAAAGAAATAACTTAAAATATTTTTTGAAATAATAATGATAATAAATGTCCCAGTGTGGCGTGATAGTTGTATTCAGTTACAAAACGTGTTCTGAATGCGAGCATCAGCCGATTTCACTATTTACCGGATGGGTGACCACCTAGGTTTTTAATGACAAATATTGGCCACTCATACACGTGTTCCAACCAACCGTGTCCTCCCACAGTAACAAACACCTGTAATGGACGTAATAATGAGTAATAATAATAATAATAAAAATTAGGATATAATAATTTTTATATACGCGACACACATACACACATATACTATGCATAACTGACAACAACACTGCAATAATATTATACATTAGGATGATAATAATTATTATTGATGGACGTATGATACGACGGTGTGGTTTTTGCGCGAGGAACTTAATCGAATATGTTTTGTTTGTTTGCAGGCCGTATTCGAACGACTCGTGGACATCATATGCGACAAGATGTCCGAAAGCTTGGACTCGGACCCGACACTGGTGGCTGGAACGAAGGGCACCAGGCTCACCGAACAGCCGCAGGGTCCGAACAATCCGAATTGCAACTGTTAAGAGTCTTGTAAGCGGTTTCGGATACCCACCACGGCCCCTCGATATACTTCAAACAACAAAACCCGTTGCAGCAGTACCGAAACACAAGAAGACATTTAACAGAATTAAACACTTAAAACAAAAAAACMAACCAAATAATCACAAAATTTGCAAACAAACTAAAACTAAAACCGATAAACCTTGGACAGCGAGTTGTTCATGTATAATAATATTATATTGTAGGCTGAAAAGCGATGAGTACTTAATATRCAACACTAATAATAATAATATTATATACCTACGTAAATTGTACATAAACGATACAATCCAATGTTATAATAGAGCTACTACCTCATCTGCAGATATTGTTTTATAGAGACGTCGCGTGTCCATTTTCTTGTTATACTTTGTTGTTCAGCGAAGCTTTCGCTAGAAAAATGTAGACGGAATCGTAACGTAATATTATTTAAATTTAACAATACAATGTACTGGTAGGTACCTATAATAATAATATAGTATACTTACTATTATATTCTATGCCAGACAATAATCATTTTTCGTTCTTTTCTTTGGTTTTAATCGAGTTATCACAAAAATATTAGCTGCTACCGTACTATGTTTTTAGCAAATCACTTATTACGAAATTACCTATGTTTATAAACCGTCAAAA